ACAGCTGGGCACGAATTCGAAAACACCGGCCATTCTGGTTGTCAACAAAATCGATCTGGTGCAAGACAACGACAAGCTGGGCGAGAAGGTTCGCGAGTATATGGCCCAGTACAGCCACTTTGTCGCTGGCCCAGTCTTCATATCGGCGCTGGGCGACACCAACGTCGAGGAGCTCAAGCAGATTCTGCTGGCGAGCACCAAGCCGGAGACTGGCTGGTTCCGGCTGATGTCAGCAGCGACATGTCGGATCTGATGCGCGTCGAGGAGCTGATCCGCGCCGAGTGGTTTGCGCGTCTGGAGGGCCACCTGCCGTACGTGGTCAAGCAGCGCAATGTTGGCTGGGAGGAGGTGCCGATTCCGCCCAAGTACGTGGCCGGCGAGGGTGAGCCAGCTGCAGTTGAGCGCAAGGCGCTGGTGATCAGCCAGGAGCTGGTGGTGTCGTCGAAGGGCGAAGCCAAGATTCTGACTGGTGCGGGCGGCAGCGTCATTCTGGGCATAAGCCGCTCGGCCAACGTCAACATCTCCAAGGCCCTGGGACGGCCGTGCGCCTCCATCTGCAGGTCATCGTCGAGGAGGACACGCGGCGTCGGAAATAGTGCCCAACCACACCGCCAGCCAGAGCGTGCGCAATCAAAACCGCAGATTTTCCCGTGGTTGTGTCTGGCGCGGCTTTGTCCTTATCTACATCTCTGCGTGCCTAACATAAATATCGAAATGTCTTTCCGTCGTGGTCTGTTGGCTGTTGGCAGCATCATGGGTGTTGCAGTGCTGCTGCGGTACACGATTGTGCCCGATGAGGAGAAGATCCTGAAGAGCATGAGCCCGAGCTGCGCGCAGAGTACGAGCGCAACAAGGAGAAGCGGCGAGCGCAGCACGACGCCATCATGGCGCAGATAATCGAAACTCAAAGTCGACAAGCCCATCTGGGACGTCAAGCCGGCGCCGGCCCCCGTGTCGGATGGTGGCAGCGCCGGGTCGGACAAGCAGCACTAGGCCAGCGGCACCTGGCCCAGCAGCTGATCGATTTGATTAAAAATAAAAAAAAATTTGCTTGGCCCAGCCCACACAAAAACGACAGCGTTGACGTTTTAGCGCACGCAGGCTAGGAAACACCCAGCATAAACAAAGGCCCGCTGGCTGGCGAGCCCACCTGCCGATGTGACCGCGCACTTTTCTTTTTCTTTGCTCGCCCCTTTTTGTAAGGACTTTTTCACTTTTCCCATTCACCATCTCGGCCCCAGCCTCCGTGCCTGCTTCGCCCCCATCGAACCAGCCGATTCCGAGTAATTTGAAGACCTCAACCCCAGTTTCAGTTCCAGTTGAAAAAATGTCGGACAACAAGGCAGTTGACATCAAGAACGACGGCGAGAAGCACGTCGACACTGCGCCCACTCCCCAGAACACCCCCCATTTTCAACGCGCCCATCGCCGCCTGCTGCCTGCCGCTGCTGCCGCCGCCGGTGGTGACGATATCACCCCGGTGCAGAACGCAGCGCTGCTGAGCATGCTGCAGGGCCGCCTGGGCAACCTCATTGGCGCCTCGTCGGCTACGTCGAGTCTCTGCGAAGGAGGTGCGTGCGCGCGTGGACAGCCTGCGTTATCTGCAGAAGCAGGCACACCGAGATTGACGCCAAGCTGCACCTCGAGATCCTCGAGCTCGAGAAGAAGTACCAGAAGCTGTATGCGCCGCTATACGCGCGCCGTACCGAGATCATCAGCGGCTCGACTGAGCCCACCGATGAGGAGAAGGCCCAGGGCGCCGCGATTGCTGCCGAGGAGAAGGGCGACGAGGAGCCCGAGTCGGGCATCCAGGAGGTCCAACGAGGACGACGACGAGGAGACCCCCAGCGGCATTCCCGACTTCTGGCTGACGGCCCTGGCCAGCACCCGCAGCTCAGCGAGCTGATCACCGAGCGCGACGAGGAGGCCGTCAAGTTCCTGCGCGACGTGCGCATGGCGTATCTCGAGGACAAGCCCGGTTTCCGCCTGGACTTTGTCTTTGCCGAGAACCCGTTCTTCGAGAACGAGGTCCCTGAGCAAGGTCTACTACTACGAGCAGTCCCGATGTCAGCGGCAACCTGCAGTTTGGCAGCGCCGTGGCACCGGAGATCAAGTGGAAGCCTGAGCACGACCTGAGCGTCACCATCGAGACCAAGAAGCAGCGCCACAAGGCCACCAACCGCCACGCGCGTTTGTCAAGAAGACCGTGCCTGCCGAGACCTTCTTCTCGTTCTTTTGCCACCATCGAGGAGCCCCGAGGTCGACGACGACTCGGAGCTGGCCGAGGAGACCCGCGACCGCATCGAGCTCGACTACGAGCTGGCCGAGGAGTTCAAGGAGAAGATCATCCCCAACGCCATCGACTGGGTTCACCGGCAAGGCCCTCGAGTACGAGGGACTCGACGACGAGGAGTACGACGACGAGGACCTCGACGACTACTACGACGACCGAGGACGACGACGAGGATGACGACGACGAGGACGACGACGACGACGAGGACGCCCTCAGCCGGTCTGCCAAGGAGGCGTCGGAGCCCCCCCAGTGCAAGAACCAGTAGACGCATTTAGCCCAGATAAACCGTTGGCTTATGAAATCGACTTTATTCAAAAATCTACTGAACAAGGAGCTCGCCAAAGTTCTCCAAAAAGTACACGGCTCCCGCAAACACGCCGACGCCGTATGCGACGCCCAGGTTGGCAGCGAGCATCTGCGGGTTAAAGATCTCCTCCTTGAAGAAGCGGGTCACGGCCCACGATCCGTCGTTGCCCGTAGCTCTCGAGTGCCCTGCTGCCGTTCCATGTTTATTTTTGTGCCGCTGTGGTGGAAATGAGTCTACGCATTCAAATCGGGGTGCGAGTTAGTGCCTACAGCTGTGCTCAGCGCTGGGTGCATTCCCGCCGGAGCGCGACAATTTGCATGCTTTACCTGTATCAGAAAAATCTTGGAGTCGCAGAGACGAAAAAGAGCGTGCTGGCGGAATCAGCCAAAAAGGCTTATGTCAGTAAGCTGGCGGTCATGGGCCCCGCCCGTGATTGGCCAGCGGTTCTGTGTGTGTTTTTCTGGCAGTCTTGAAACAATTTTTTTCCAACACGGCACACTCGCCTCGCGCATTTTTCTCCTCTCTTCCGGCATCGACTAACTTTTTATTCTGTCTCCCAAATTCCCATTTTGCTCTCCCCGCCCTTCCCTCCTGTACAGCCTTTTTTTCTTTATTCGTCCCTCTCTAGGAGCAGCCTATAATAAAAAGCTACCTCTACGCGTTCTCTCCCTGGTGCTCGTCGTATAGGCCGCAAGGCAATATCACCAGCAAACGCGCGAGCCGCTCCTGTTTCTATTTCGTCAGCCCCCTAGCTTTTTTACCTTGGCCTTGCCAGCAAGCGCAGACCTGCCATACGCAGCATTTGCTTCTAATCCCGCCACGCAAACGCATTTGGTTCACACACACCACGACCGCAAGCCTACACAAGTCATTTCTCACCGCCCGTTTGACCTAATGATGACCGAACGGAAGAGGCGGTCGGACGAGAGTCGGGACTTGGAGGGCCAGCCCCAAGCAACGCTCGCAAAGAAGCGCCATACGTCAAAGGAGACCGACTTCCAAGCCCTATCGGCCGAATTTGACGAGAATGCACAAATGCTCGACCTGGTAAAGTATCAAAGGCCTGCGTGCTTGATGTGCCTGAAAAGAACAGCCTGCTCTGCGGGAGGGCGCGCGCGGCAAGTGGGTATAAGCATGACCGATTGCATATTGCTAATCATCGCCAGTGTTCTCGATTGCTGGCACACGCTGCTTCTGTAGGACTCGATTCGTGAGTTTCAAAAGGAGGCCATTTGGCGGCAGATGCAAGAGTACAAGCGCGATGCCCGCAGATCTCAGCAGCGCGCTAGCGATCTCGAACGCCGCCAGGAGCAGTGGACGATGCGGATAGGCCGGCTATGCCATGCGTGGGACCAGGCTGTCGCCCAGCTTGACACAATCATCAACAGCGACACCAGCGATGGCAGCCAGTCCTCTGCACACCCGTCAGCAGTGGACTCGTGGCTCGGCATGCTGCTGCCGACCAAAATCGCCGAGACAGCAGACGATGGCATGGCCACGGCTGACAGCAACTCTGCTGTTGAAAAGTCCGATGTCGTACAAACCAGCTTGCAGCGCTTCAATAGGGCCGTGCAGACAATTTTACGCCAGCTTGAAAGCAAGAGCACGTCCCCTGTTGACTGGCAGTCGGCGATCGAGCGTCTGTCGCGTATGCGCACCAGCGAGAAAGAGGTAGCTGACCTTCGCTCCCAAGTGGCCCAATTCTCTCGGCAAATTGCTGAGGAACGAGAGCAGCTTGAAGCCAGCCAGACCGAGCTACGGCGGGCGCTAAAGAAACTCGACCGCTCGGTCTGTCCAACAGTGCAAGCACTCGACGTGGAGGCCCAGCCGCATCAGCAAAACAGTGGCAGCAGCCCACATAGCCACGCGTCCGGACCCGCCTCCCCAGCCAAGGGCGACTCATCCCAGGCCGAGTCCTCCAACACAACAGCGATTGCCAACGGCGCAGTTTACTCGCGCGCCGGCAGCCCGTCTGCAGCAGGCAGCCCAGCCCAGCAGCAAACAGCACAGCTGCAGCAGCAGCTGCAACAGCCACAGCAGCCACAGGAAGCCAATGACAAAACCGACTACCGCGAGCTTGCCGAGCGCCGCCTGTCTGAGATTGAGGAAAAGGTTCGCGAAAACACCGAGATTCAGAAGCAACTTGATGCGCTGCGGCTACAAATCTCCAACATCCCCGACCACATTATAGCTGAAACCTCACTGTTCAAGCAAGCGGAGGCCAGCCGCGAATACTACAATGCAGAGTCGCTACGTCTGCAGGCCGAAGTCGACAGGCTGTTCAAAGAGGTGGCGGAGCTCAAATCGTCGCGGACAGAGTTTGACATGTCGCTGCAGGCCGCGGCCAACTCCCAGCGCCAGATTCTGGAGGCCGAGCTGCAGCGGCTGCAGACCGACCTCGTGCGTGTGCGCAACCACCGCGACCAGGTCCAGCGCGAGCTCGAGTCGCGCCGCGCCCAGGACACAGTGGAGGACCAGAAGAGCACTGAGCTGAAGCTCCTGTCAGACGTACGCCGTGAGCGGATGAACTCGCTGATCTCGGAGAACAAGCGTCTGCTGGCGTGCATTGCGGTGCTCAAGGGCGACCGCAGCGCGTTTGAGACGTATACGGATGAGGAGCTGAGCAAAACCACGGCCGTCGCCGACGAGCTGCGGGCCAAGCTGGACCAGGCGCTGCGGCGTGAAAAGCAGCTGTCCGCACAGCTCGCCGCAAGCTCGCAGCCTGACGCAAGCCAGCTTGCAGCCGATCTGACGCGGGCGCAGGAGACTGCGGACTCGCTGCAGAAGCGGCTGGCCAAGTACGAATCGATTCTGGGCGGGGCATGCGTCGACGAGCACGGCCAGATGCTGGCAGAGCTGCCTGACAAGGCCGGCGAGCTGGCGCAGAAGCAGAGGCAGGTCGACGAGATGATCCTGCAGCGCGACAGCCTGCAGCGCACGTCGGAGATGATGGAGCGCGAGCTGCAGACGATCTGCGACTCGTTCACCAAGCTGGAGAAGCAGAACACCAGCAAGGTCTGGGAGCTGGCCAGCAAGGAGCAGCACATCTCGCGTGTGGTGGCCGAGAAGTGCAAGTACGAAGAGAAGTTTATCGGGCTCAACAAGGACCGCGAGGCGCAGAAGCAGGCCAACCAGGCCCTGCGGCACCAGAACCAAAAGCAGCTGGAGCACATCAAGACCATCGAGGAGCGCGACCGGGCCATGGCGCAGGAACTGTCGCTGGCCAGCGCCGAGACACAGCAGGCGACGCTGGCATGGCAGGGCTGCCAGACCAATCTGCAGGAGTCCCAGCGGCGGACACAGGAGCTCGAGGAGCAGGTGCGGGCGCTCGAGGAGAAGCACCGCGTCGCGACGCAGATGCTGGACGAGCGGACAGACAGCCTGTCGCGGGCT